CAGAGGGTGCTTGGTGCCAGTCAGCACCGTCTGCTCAGGGAACCACCTGGCACCTGGTCCAGGAGGCTCTGGCTTTCCTCCAAGGTGGTCAAATCCCCTGGAGCCGAACCGCCTGCAGGCTGGAGTCAGCTTCCTTTGAGGTTGGCTCCTGCAGTCCTTTAGGCCAGTGATTTGCAACCTTTATCATCTCACAGCACACACACTCACCACTCAACCTCTGCAGCACACCGAAACATATATACTGAGTGGCCAGATTATTATGACCACCCCATCAGTACTTCGTTGGGCCACCTTTTACCTTCAATACTGCGGGGAATTTTCTTGGCATTGACTCCACGAGATGTTGAAAAGTGATGCGAGGAATCTGACACCATGCCTGATGAATAGCACTGTCCAGTTCTGTGAGATTTGATGGTTGTGGAACGAGCTGCCTGGTAGCTCTTTTAACTTCGTCCCACAAGTGCTCAATTGGATTGAGACCTGGTGATTGTGGGGGCCACCTAAGCAAGGTAAAGCCTCCCTCATGTTCTTGAAACCACTCCTGCACAATACAAGCACTGTGGCATGGCACAGTGTCTTGTTGGAAGAAACCATCTCCATTGGGATACGCCATCAACATGAGGCGATGATAGGGTGAACTTGATCAGCAACCATACTTAGGTATGTTGTGCTATTCAGACGTTGTTCCACACGAATTAAAGGGCCCAAATCATGCCAGGAAGACATGCCCCAAACCATAACACTGCCCCCACCAGCTTGAAGGGTTGTACTCATGCATGTGGGGTGCATGCTTTCATGCTGTTTCCGCCAAATTCTCACTCTGCCATCTGCATGATGTAACTGGAAATGTGATTCATTGGACCACATGACTTTTTTCCAATGCTCGACTGTCCAGTCCTTGTGTTCCTGTGTGAACTGGAGACGTTTTATCTTGGTAACTGCAGACAGCAAAGGTGTTCGAACAGGCCTTCGGCTTCCATATCCCATACAATGCAGTGTATGGCTAATTTGCCTACAAACGTCAGGTGGTCATAATAATCTGGCCACTCATGTTCAAATAAATCCCACATTCAAAGGCTGTTAAATCGTGTTGTTTACCCATATCTTCAGGGAAAAATCGCTTCTACTGTCGTGGTAAACAACCTGCTTTTCTATTTATAATGGTCTGGCCCTCTAGCAACTTCAGCGCAAAATTATAGCTAATTTGCCTACAAACATCAGGTGGTCATAATAATCTGGCCACTCAGTGTATATTTGGCCAATCTGACAAAAAAAATAGGCATAGTTTTGATTCATGCACAGCAGGCAGCTATTGCTGTGTTGGCTGTTGTGATTGTTTTACTGGACAATCGAAGGGAAATGAGGTCAGTGCCCCTGTCTAAAGAGTCAGCATGGCATGTTTTAGGAACTCGTGCAGCCACACAGGTGAAAATCATTGCTTGAAGCCAGCAGGCTGTTTATCCGCAGCTACATGTGAATTTGCAGGTCATTCTTTTTTAAAATATATTTTTATTTATATTAGAGAGGAAGATAGAGGGGGAGAGAGAGAGAGAAAATCATCAATGATGAGAGAGAATCATGGATTGGCTACCTCCTGTACGCCCCCCACTGGGGATTGCGCCCACAACCTGGTTTTGTATCCTGACCGGGAAATGAACCCTGACCTCCTGGTTCATAGGTCGAAGCTCAACCAAGGAGCCATGCGGGCTGGGCTACCATTCACTCTGTATGGAAACAATGGTAAGGAATGCAGGGGTGGTTACCAGGGGCCGACAGAAAACCAACAGTCACAGCCCCCACACTGTGGGGAAGCACAATCCAGGCGACTCGTTTTCCGTGGATCGGGGTCAGTGTCGTCTCGGTTGTTTACAGCACATGATTGTTTCTGTGAATAAAACCTACAGCAGGAAGGTGTAGCAGGTGCTCTGGCTCAGTTGGCTTCTGCCTATGGGTGTCTCCTGGGCTGAGGTCATGCAGGACTGTGGTCACCGCACCCCATAGCGGTCACCACGCCCCGAGGGCCCTGGGTTCCAGTACGGATCTACCCCTCCTGCCCCATTTGGTATTTTCTGCCAATGCAGGTGTTACCCAGGAAACCGAGCATAACCAGGCCCTGGGGGTGTGAACAAGAACGACAGTGAGAGCAGTAGGAATGGGCAGCACCGTTCAGCCCTCGCATCTGTCGACTCCTTTCTAGACATGAACGTATTAAACCCTCCAGTCCGCTGGGGTTGTGACCACTGACCTTTCCTACGTAGCAGGAGGGCAGCTACATGCCATGTCCAGGTCGACCCTTCCAGGTGGAGGCACAGAAGTGCAATCCACTCTGTCTGACTCGGGGGCTGGCTCACCTCCCAGGGGCCTCTCCCCGGTCTGGGGACTGGATGCATGCCCGGGCTGGGCAGGTGCCACTCCACCTGTTCCCATCTTTCCTCTCTGTCCTGGCACAGAGGGGCCAGACCCAACCTATGGAGCTGTTAACATAGAAAACATTCAAACCTGGGAAGAATTTTTTTGTGAGTTTATTTGAGCCAAACTGTCGACAATTGCCGGGAAGCAGCATCTCAACGGATTGGGATAAGGCTCCAGAGAATGGAGGGTTTTCACCTTGTTTTACACATTACAATCAGAGGAGGGGACGTAGGTGGGTTACAGGAACTCCACTGGTGATGGATTAGACAGGCGGGAAGAAGCAAACTGGGGAAACCCCTGGGATTGGATAAAAGTAAAAAGATAGACACACACTTACTAGTAGGTGGGTGCAGGACAGTTAACAGTCAAAGTTAACATGATAACAATCACAATGAAGGAATCTGTGGTCTCCGTCCTGGCTCCATGGATCCAGCTTGTGCTCTCATGGATCTGGAAAAAGGAAAGTTACAAGTTACCTCACATCCCATAGAGGTGTTATCCTAGATGCAAAAAGACAACAGGCTCAGTAAAGATTGAAAATTGATCTTTGTCAGGGAAGATATTGGCCTAGGATGTGACTACCCATATAAACTGCTTTTTAATTAAAGGTTTTTATTTCAGACCATCCTGTGTGGTCACTTTAGGTCGCTGAGTTTGCAAGGTCGCCGAGTTTGCAAGGTCACCACACAGGCCTCCCCTGAGCTGGTCAGGTCAGCATGTGGCCCTTTTTTCATCCACAGACCCAAGACGGGCTCTGGGAACAGTGCTGACCTGGGCCTGGAACTGGCCCGATCCAGGGAAAAGAATGTGTCACTTGAGTGAGCAGGTGGGGCCCGAGGCAGGTGCTCCCCGCAGAGCCCTCTCCACCGGGAACTCACGCTCCAATAAACGCCCGACACAAACAGCTCCTGCCTCCGGGCAGCCTGGCCACGCGGCCTGTGTGACCTGGAGCCCAGCCTCCGAAGACGTGACCCAGACAGGCGGTCACCAAGGTCGAGTGCAAGTGAGAGAACAGGGAGACGTGTGGGGGTCACCCCCAGTCTTTCTGGGCCATGTCGGCCTCCAAACAACACAGGAGCCGAATCATCACATAGACTAACCATGGACCAGTGGACAGAGCTAAGAGGTCTCGGCTGTCTGCCCCTCACCCCTCCATTCTGGAGTGAAGGCTGGTCACACCAGGTGCTTTCAGGCTCTGCTTCTCTGCACCACACGTGCGAATGTGCCCACCTGGAACATGGTACCAGGGGAGACACATGCTAGCTGGGCCTGGACGCTGCCCAGCACGTGTTCAGGCACCCCCCTCGGCCACTCCCCACTTCTCACAGTACGTCTGACCCTCTCCACTGTCCTCAAGCCCCCCAGCTGCCTTCCTGGTCACGGTCAGGAAAGGGCCTCCTCTCATAGCTGACAGGAATGGGACAGCAAGAGAGCAGTCAGCCCGGCCGGTGTTGCTCAGTGGTTGAGCATCAACCTAAGAGCCAGGAGGGCCTGCTTTGATTCCTGGTCGGGGACTAGTCTCTCGGGAACCATAGAAACCATAGAAACTTCCTAGGAACACACGTCTGTTGTGTACAAAGAAGCTCCAGACCAGAGGTCAGCTGGTAGAGCAAATGAAACAGCGATGAGCCTGGCCTGCGTGGCTCAGTGGTTGAGTGTCGACCTATGAACCAGGAGGTCACAGTTCAATTCCCAGTCAGGGTACATGCCCTGGTTGTGGGCTGGATCCCCAGTGTGGTGCGTGCAGGAGGCAGCCCATCAATGATTCTCTCTCATCATGGATGTTTCTATCTCTCTCTCCCTCTCCCTTCCTCTCTCACATCAGTAACAATATATATTTTTTTAATATATTTTATTGATTTTTTACAGAAGGAAGGGAGAGGGATAGAGAGTTAGAAACATCGATGAGAGAGAAACATCGATCAGCTGCCTCCTGCACACCCCCTACTGGGGATGTGCCCACAACCAAGGTCCATGCCCTTGACCGGAATCAAACCTGGGACCCTTCAGTCCACAGGCCGACGCTCTATCCACTGAGCCAATCCGGTCAGGGCAGTAACAATATATTTTAAAACAAGAAAAGAAAGAAAGGCTGATGTTGGCCAATGGAGGAGAAAGTTCCCTGCAGAAGCGAGAGTGAGAGAGCAGCCTTCCTGGTGAAACTGCTTCCACGGGTTCCATGAAACAGCTGCTCGGCTGTACCCGGGGGGAGGGGACTCTGAGGCCGGCTTGCTGGCAGCTGGCTTGCTGGTCCCTGCTGCCCGAGGCCCCTTGTCACGACCCTCTGAGCCATTCCCACCCAGGGGCCTGGGCATGAGCCCCTTCTCCAGAACTTCTCCAGGACTCATCAGAACTCCCAACCTGGCGGGGATTGGGGGCATAGAGCAGCTCAGGTGCCACCTCAGGGCTCCAGGCCAGAGCTCCCCCCCTCAGCTGGATGGGGAGTGTGTCCACCTGACACGCAGACGCAGGTGAACCACAGGAGGGGCTGCTTGTAAGAATTTCCCTGATTGCGACACACCCTACAGATCTGTCCCTGAGGTTGCGCAACCCTCTCCCCTATAAAGAGGGAGGCGCTGCGGCCTCTGGAATCTGTGGCTGGGCCTGCAAGCCTCCTCCTCCTCCTGCCCTCGCCCAGCCTGGCAGCCAACATGAGGCTCTTCCACATCCTGCTGCTGCCTCTCTGCCTGCTCTTTGCCCAGGTGGGCCCAGGTGAGCTGGGGACCCTCGGGCACTGTGCCCAGGGCGGGGGACCAGGTGAAGGGAGCTGTGAGGACAGCTGCAGACACTGTGCCCTGAGGGCAGAGGCTTCAGACAGAATCCCGGAGGCCCAGGGCTGATGGCTGGCTGTGGGCTGCCCCTGGGTCTGCCTGCCGCCCCCTGACCCCCTATGTGGAGTCTGCAGGGTGAATGCCCCAGGGCCTGAGCCCAGCTGCTGGACCTGAGGGCTCATGCCCGGCTCCCTGTCTGACCCCTAGGGCTCCATGCCCTCTGCCTTGGCAGCTGCCAGTGCCTCCCAGCCCCATCAGGTCTTGGGCATCTAGAAAGGACCCTCCGTGGGGCCACCGACTCCACCTGCGAGATGGCCCCTCGCCAGGGAGGCCGGCTTCCTGTGCTGCTGCCAGGGGCGCAGGCTGCCAGCCCCAGGTCTCCTGGGTCACGGGGAGGGGCCTCCCAGGTGCCTGGGTGTAAGCAGGTGCTGCCCGCCCTGCCCACAGGCAGCTCACGGCCGTGACTCACCTGTGCTGGCAGTCAGGGCCCAAGGGCGGCCGAGACCTCCCCTGCAAAGCCCTTCACGCTCTGCTGGCTGGGACACCTCCCCAGGAGCTGCCAGCTCCTCTCGTCAAAGCAGCCAGGCCCTGAGTCAGACAAGGCGGGACCTTCGGGAGGAATCTGGGAACACGTTTCACCCGGGCCTGTCCCTCACTCGCTCTGGCCTGGAGCACGGCGCACTCTCTGGGGTTGGTCTCCTCTGTGAAACCAGGGGGCGGGGGATCTGAGGGACCCCAGCTCTGAAATGCTCTGAAAGACCCGATCCTGCTCCTCTCCAGGCTGTCATTTTGTCAGACAGATGTGACGGCTTTACTCCGGTTATGCCTCGGTGTGCCCATCTGGAAAGTGGGTGGGAAAGTTTTCTAACGCAGAGGTTTTAATGTTGCTGGTGGGAAACCTTGGAGAGGTGGGCAAATCCCATCAGAGACTTGTCTTTTCTCAAAAGAACATTCTCTCCTGCTCGGCCAGGGCGGGCCCTGTATGGGCGTGCATGTGTTGTGACACCCTGATTCTCGCGCTCACAGGCGTGTGTGTGTGTGTGTGTGTGTGCGTGTGCGTGTTTGCACATGTGTGCATATATGTGTGTGAGCATGTTTGCACATGTGTGCATGTGTGTGTGTGTGTGTGTGTGTGTATGGAGTAGCCGTATAGCATCTCTCAAGGAGTTCAGTTCAGACTCAGAGAGTCCGAATGCTGCGTTGTTGAAAACACCAGTGCTCCCCACGATGCAGGAGCAGTGTCCTGACTCATCCCTCTGACGGAAGCACTAGCTGAGCCCTGCCCCGTGGCCCATGGGTTGGAGCACCGTCCTGTGCACCAAAAGGTTGTGGGTTTGATTCCTGGGCAGGACACATACCTAGGTTGCAGGTTTGATTCTTGGTCTGGGTGCATTTGGGAGGCAACAGATCCATGTTTCTTTCTCTCCCTCTCTCCCTCTCTCCCCCTCTCTCTATCTCACTATCTCTCTATATTTCTCTATCTCTCCATCTCTCGATTTCTCTATCTCTCTATCTCTCTCAAAAAATCAACAGGTTGAGGATTAAAAAATCAATCAATAAAGCAGGAGCTGACACTGTGGAGCAGGTAGTAAATTCAGGATTAGCTCAGATACTCCCAGGCAGGCTACTCTGCTGTCTCCTCCGACAACACGTCAATCCTTCTGCACAAACCGGCCTGTCCATGGTCCTCAGAATGGGGACAGGACGCCTCAGGAAGGCCTTGGGGGTAGCGGCTGTTCTGCAAGGGGAAGAGCTGTGCCCATCGCCAGCTCCGGGCTGAGGCTGGGGGGCTCTGGCCACCTTGGGGCCCTGCAGGCACCACGTCGCCTGCGCTGCGACCTCTGTGTGAGATGTTCCTGCTGGGAACGGGGCCACAGGAAAGGCCGTACCTACACAACTATCTTCACGGGAATGTGTGTGCCGTCTGAACGAGGTTGGGAGGGGTGTGGGGGACAATGATCCCCCACCCCCACCCAGTGCCTTTGCCTGCGATCCGAAGCCCCACAGTCTCTGCTTGACTCCCCGGGCCGTGGGCTGGGTGTTCCTGTGGGTGTTGGTGCCGTGGTCCTGGCTGTGTGGTTGTTAGGGTGGCTGCTGCCCCTATTCCTGTCGCTGCCACGGGGGCATGGACGGCTGTGGGATCCACGTGATCACCAGGTCCGAGCTCAGTGCAGAGAGGGAGCCTGCTGCTTCCGGCTCTGCGGGGTCCCTGACGCACCCCTGGCTGACTTGGGTCCCCCAGTGGGCTCAGCCCATCCCTCTCCTGGAAGGGCCATCAGAGCTCATTTAGTCACCTGGTGGGCTCCCAGGTGGGGAAACCGAGGCATGCAGGAGTGGGCAAAGGAGAGCTGCAGTCACGGCCGGAGACCACAACACTCCTGTTCGTAGTTTTCCTCTCTCTCTGAAAAAAACACACAAAACAAAACAAAACAAAAAATATATATGCATTGCCCACATTTATTTCATAAAAGTGGTCTTTCTGTGAGGATAGAATGATGTCAGAATGACACAGTGACCTGGGTCCCTGAATCGGCTCTTCAGGAACCTAGCCCAGGTGTCTAGAAATTAAGGCCATTTGAGGCTGCCCTGGCTGGTATCTCAGTGGTTAGAGCACCAGTCAGCACACCACAGGGTTGTGGGTTTGATTCCTGGTCAAGGGCCTTACCTGGGTTGCAGGTTCGCTCCCTGCCTCCTGTAATGGCGTGTGGGGGAGGCAACCAGCTGATGTTTCTCTCTCACATCAATGCTTCTCTCTCTCTCCCTTCCACTATCTCTGAAAAGCAATGGAAAAAATATCCTTGGGTGAGGATTCACAAAAAGAAAGAAAGGAAAAAGCAGTCTGTGGCTGTCCACTCTCTGCTTCAGCCAATCTTTAGCTCACAGCTCCTATGGGCAGGCCCTGCCTGGGGGGAGGGGACACACAGGAGAACACAGCCCTGACCTGGTGACTCTACATGGTAGAAGCTGGGCTGGGGAGGCTGGGGAGGAGCAGGGTTGTATAATTAATTACCCAATGACATCGTGTTGAAACACCGGCCAGGGCAGGGTGCTGAGGGCGCACGTGACTGTGGGTGGGAGGCGACCTGGCCTGGCAGGCCAGGAAGGCTTCCTGGAGGAAGCTGAGAAGCAAAGGAGAGTGGGGGTGATTTTGGTGTCCATGGTATTTTTAAAAAAGTAAAATTGAATTCCTCTCGGCATTTAAAAATCAGGATTTGTCCCAGACAATTTAGATTTTTTGATCTTCTCTTACAAAGACAAACAATGTGGCAACAGTGAGCTGCAGCTGAACAGGGCTGCTGGTCCAGCTGAACTGGCTCCCCAGGTTGCCACAGGCCCCCCCACTCCCTGTCGCCTCTCCTCAGCCCACAGCACAGATGTGTACCATCTCCCAGCTGCTGAGGGCGACGGAATTTACAGTCCTCATTGACAGTGGGATTGGTGGGGGGGGGGGGGGGCAGGATCAATCCAGACCC